CATGCACATGTGAGTGGGGTTTTGGTTGGTTCCCATCCGTATCTTAAGTAAATACCATCTCTGAACTCTGATTTATTCAGGTTGAAGTTGTATCTGCTCAGTGGTAGAGCATTGAGCCAGTTAGAGGCTCCCTTTTCAGAGGCCAGGTCGATTGCGTATTTATCTGTTTCATTTAAGGAGTTAATGAGGTTTGCTTTTTTCGATTTGTTCCATCAGTTTTCAATTTTTTAATTTTCGTAAATATTTTTTCTTGCTGTGTTACTGCTGTAATAGGATCTTGAGATTCCAGTACCAGTGATGTTTCCTTAGACCATTCTAGGTAGCTTTGATGATCGGATGGCAGCTTGATGTTAAGTCCGCCCATTTTAAGGGGTAAGGAAGATATCTCACGGAACTGGGGGTTTAAAGTGTCTTTACCGACTAGGTTAGGTAATAATCGTTCTTTGATAATATTTTCACATATTTCTAAGTTTTCCATGGTGTTAGGCGTTGTCCTGGCAAGAAATGAAAGCTTTTCTTGAACTCCTTTAGTATAGCAGGCATAAACGTTTTGAGGGGAGGTTTTAGCAATTTTCGTTAATTTATTCAAAATTTTGATTTGCTCATTCTGTTGAAATTCGAGGAATTTTTTACATTCAGATTCTGTTCCTATAACTGAACCAAGCACTCGGGCTTCTGCCTTTATAGTGATTCCTGTATTTGCGAAGATTTTCTGAGCTTCACCGAGTTTTTCATCTTTGACAATGAGTTCGCATTTGGATGCTTTCACGTGGTAGCCGAAAAATTTACCCAGTGATACAATTTTGTCGATGACGGTTCGTAGATTGCTTAATTTACCGACTGCGTTTCCGTCGTCTGCGTACCAGTTCTGGGTTACATCGTCTACTGATAAAAGTTTTTCGAGGGGTATTATGGCTAGACCGTACATGGCCATTGCTAGTGGATCCCCCTGGGTTGTCCCTTCTTGAGAGTAGATTGTTTTTTGTTAACGAATAGTTTAGATGGGTTGGAGTAGGAGTTCTTAATTGCTGTTAAAAGGGAAGGGCAGGTATTTTCGATGTTTTTTAATGCCAGCTTTCGGTTCAGCGAGTTGAAAGCGTTTTCGGCATCTATCAGTAAAACAGCATCGGCGGAAGTTTTGCTGTATTGATCTCTTAGCGTGTGGATTGCATATTCAATGCCACATTTTTGTCCTAGGCAGAGTTGGTAGTTTGAACCGAGCGACATGAGTTCGTTTTTTAAGCATTTAGTTATTGTTCGCCCTATTATCCTACGCATAACTTCTCCTATGCCTATGGGTCTTACCCCTGGATTCTTATCTAAGAGTATAAATCTGCATGCGTTATATGGTTCCATTAGTTCTGGATTTAATTCTTCTGAGGCCAATTTTTTGGCAATTTTAGCAATTGTTTTTGAAATTTCAACTGATTGTTGCCCGAAGTGTGTTAGAATACGTCTCCATTCATTCGCATCGAGGCCAGATGGTCCATGCGATCCGTGAGTTCTCATGGCTGCCTTCTTGATATGTTGACCGTTTATCTGATCAAATATCGATGGATGAAAAGGAATTGTTTCGTTTGAGACTGGTGTAATATAGTTCTCATTAATTGGTTCAGATGGTGGGTGTTTCTCTACGAGAGTCTGTTCAACTGTCTTACCTCTGACAATCTCGTCGAGCGAAAGAACACCTTTAGATGTGTCTGTTAGTTTTGCAATTGCGCTTGATATTTTTCCAGTATTCATTAGTTTGTTGAACTGTTGTGCTTCAGTTTCAGTTTTTCTTCTACTTCCTTTCAACAAGCGCATTTGCAGCGCGTTTCCTTCGTTATATAGTCCATCCAGGTCTCCGTCTTGCCATTGCTTAAGTCGCCTTGCTATTGTTTTGGATGAAGATCCATCAATTTCGGACTTTGTTTTGCACAGTAATAAGTGTGGAAAAATCATTGCTGCGTGCATTGCGAAGGTATTTTCGTTGTTTTCTATTAGGCTGTTCAAAGTTCTATTGAGGGTTTCAATAAAGTTATAACCAACTTTATTTTTTGACAAGATCATAAAGACCGGTTTCCAGTGGACCACTTCGGTGTATATTTTCCTGGTGGTTTCTATGAGTTCTGGACAGGGGTTTGACCATGGGTCTTGTAATGTTCTGGGTTCTATAGTGGAAGACTCTCCTGAGTTTTGTGAGTGTGGGGCAGGTGAAGGGTGAGGGTGCATTTGGGGGAGCGTGGTTGTAGCAAGGGTTGCGGGATTGCATTTTCTTGCTGTGTTACTGCTGTAATAGGATCTTGAGATTCCAGTACCAGTGATGTTTCCTTAGACCATTCTAGGTAGCTTTCATGATCGGAGGGAGCGTGGTTGTAGCTAGGGTTGCGGGATTGCATTCATGCTTGTCGTTAGCTGAATGAAATTGGGAGGTGCAGCGATGACAACTGAAATCGTCATAGTGATCACTGCTGCGGGCTAGGCCGCTGCATTTTACATGCATGTAGCATGGGCATGTGAAGCACCAAACACCTCCGCCTCGCAGGCTGCTTTTACAAATAAGGCAGTGTGTTTGAGTAGCCATTTTAGAAAGGACGGCGGTGACAAGTTAGCGAGAGAATTTATAGATTAAATTTGCTAGAAAATTTGTAAAAAAATCATTACCGTAGAACGAGAAATGGACGCCATCACGGCAGAACATTTGAGGGGTTAGATTTAGGTTGAGGTTGGGCGAAACAATAAGTGTATGGGGGTGTACAAATCTATTTATCAAATTAAACAGCACATGATTATGAATATAAATTTTGCGGTTTACTTCGGAATTATTACAGTTCTGAATTGTTTTGGGGATGATCAGTGTCTTGGGCTGAAACTTGTTAGTGACGAGGTTAATCAAGTTTTTCCACTGCTGTACTAATTCTTGTGGATGCAGCCTAGTGTCATTGTATCCAGCAACTATTGTTAATGTATTTAGGCGCTTTGGTCTGTATTGCAAAACTGTTTCAAACAGATCATGAAGCGTTGCGCCGCGGTAGGAGTGAATTGTTGATTTTACTAGAGCTGGTTTGATATATTTGGTCCTTGAAGTCCCAATAACTAGTTTCTGTGAGAACTCAGGGATGCGTCTTGCCTGGAATCGCGGCATCAACCTGAAACACAGACAACTGGGGCGATAAAGGAAGCTCTTTGGGGTAATTTATGAATACTTTCACTTAGGGTTTAAATTTATTGAGGCAAAGGCGATGAAAAAAAAATGAAAAAAAAGAGAAAAAAATAAAAAGGAGTGGTACAACCTGACGTCGATTTAGAGGTCGATTCACCAGCTCACTCCTTCTTGCGTCTTGTTACGCCAGGGAAACTTCACTCGCCTACGGCTGGGACGGCGAGATTTGGTAAGATAACCAGCAGAGGAAAGCCCAGCGCGCATATGATCTATTTAATAAGTTTATCACAACTATTAGGCTAATAGGTAAGATCATTGGTAAGATCTTATAAATGATGGATATAGCTGCCCTCCCGTGGACCTAAGCCTACTATACAGTGCCTCATCGATCTCATCTTTCTTTTTCATGGCCAACAGTTCTTTGTTGATGTCTTTCTCAATTTTCATAACAACACTATCAGTTAAACCTGGTTTTTCGCTAAATTGTTCCGATTGCAGCAGCTCAGTTAGTTTAGCCTCATATGTCGTTTTCTTCATTACACAGAAGCCAACACCTTTATCGAATGGGACTGCCAAGAGACCATTGTCCTTCAAATACTTCCTGGCTTTCTCAATCCCTCTATCCGACGGTGTTTGCCGCACACGTTTAGCGTATGATTTTGCAGCAGCTTCAATTTCACATAATTTTTTACCTGGTACCTTTTGCGATTTAAGCTCAGATAAAAAATTATCAATGTCCGCAAGAAAGTGAAGTTCATTGAAACGATCCCTCACCGGGTGCTTTGGGCCAAAACCTAACACTTCATGAACCCACTTGGGTAGCTCAATGCCATCTAGTGCTCTGACCGATTTGTCATTCACTTTCATTAACGGTCTGTCCTGCCGCTCTGCTAGCTTTTTTAACTTCTTTTCATGTCTATCCTTGATGTCATGGATAGCAAGTCTAGCCTGGAGCTTTAGATAAAATGCTATTGAGGGCCACCATTGTTCATCTATCCCTTTCCGCACTACCTCTCTTGCCTTAGCTAGATCATCGTCTATCTTCTTCTCTTCTGACCTTGCCTGATTTATCTCTGTTCTTAGGAGTTTTAATTGAAAGCTATGCACCGCTTGGTCCATTTTTTGTGTTTGAAAAATTCTGTGCTACTTGCACGGCAACTGGCTGTTGTTGTTGTTCTAGTTTGACTTTTTAAGTGGCCATTTTTATTAAAATTTTGAATACCATATGAATCCCCGTACCATATGAATTAAAACCCGTATCGATTTTAATTGAAAAGGACTTAAATACTTGTCATCTTCTTTTATCATTATCACATCCATATTTAGAAAATTCCAAGGATTTTGACTTGAATACATGATGAAGGGACCCATGACTGTAACCTCGGTTACAATGATACTTTTGACCTTCTGATTACGTTAAAAAAAATAAAAAATTCTTTCAATTTTCTCACTTAGAATGCTTCACGTCGCATAGCATGAACAAAGTTTTTACTCCGCATATTCGAGAATATGATCACTCTGATGCAAAACTTAGTGCAGATGAGAAAATCTGGCGTTTTCAGACCCGGATAACATTGGTAAGTCATTAATACCAAATATTGATAGTTTGATAGAGGATAAATCTGATCATTTGCTCTTGATCTATGTAAAAAAAGTTTCTGAGTTTCGAAGGAAATGTCCAAAATGGACATTGCAAAAAGGCGTTTTAGAGAGTCAAATCTTGAGTTTGCGCTTAATTTTGTCCACTAGTGTATCATACTTTTGACCTTCTGATTACCTCTGTTAATTTTGGTGTCGCTCCTTGATAGATTCGTTTCTTTGGGCGGCTTGTGTCTGAAATTTCACATGAACTTTCTAGGCTGGGAAAATGGTAAAGCAAACGATTAAAATATTTGGTCGCCTGAAGCCTACCAAAAAGAATCTTTGCGTGAGTTATTTTGATGCGCAACAATTAGAAAATTTACAAAAAATGTTATGGTAATAGCATGATCTGTTTCAGGTTTACGAAATTCAAAGTGACGAAACCGAAAAAGACCGAATTATGTTTGCTGTACCTAGAGACTCGAAACTTTTCATCAATAACACGAAAGAAGAATTTAAGTTCCAGTAAATATAAGTTTGTTGCAAACTGTTACAATTTTTTTATCTCGTGTAATCTCAAATTATGGCGATTAGTTGCCTGTAAATCTGAAAACCATTTATTTTGTACCCTCTCTTGTCTCTCAATTTTTGTTGTAGGGCTCGATCTTATCTCAAATCATGTTGCTTTTAGATTTGATCACATTTTTGAACGCGATGCAAAACAGGAAGAAGTGTTCGAGAATGTAGCTCGCGATGTGATTGACAAGTAAGTTCTTTCATGCTGTTGCTGCTTTTTGTGGTAACAAGTGATTCAAATCATGGCAATAGTGCATATGGAAATGAATTTTGACAACATTCACTTATGCATGAAAAATAGGAGCAAATTACACTAGCTTTTTTGCTTTCAGCTGCCTCTCTGGCTACAATGGAACCATTTTTGCCTATGGTCAAGTAAGTTACGACTGATGCTGATAGTTTAAATGTTCATTTCTATGTTTCAAAAATATATTTATTTGGTGTTTATATTTAGACAGGAAGTGGTAAAACTTTCACGATAACTGGCGGAGCTGAGAAATATTCCGATAGGGGTATCATACCACGATGCCTCGAGTACCTCTTTTCGCAATTTGAGAAGCAGCCAAACCTGGCTTTTCAGACTCACATTTCGTACCTGGAAATATACAATGAAAGTGGGTATGATCTTTTGGATCCAAACAAAGAGATCAAGAAAATGGAAGACCTTCCAAAGGTGAAACATTTTCAGTAACTTTCCATCTTTTCAGTTGCTCTACCTATCAATCAAACCATGCGTTTAAGCGGCGAACACTGATTAACGCACACTATACTTTGCGTGCGGAATGTAGGCCCAGTGAAGCAAGTGGTAGCAAACTGCCATTGTCTTGTAACATGTTGTCGCTGACCAATTAAAACACTTTTAAGTAAGAATAATTGATATTATTAAACCACCACCATACATTTGTAACAAAGAACACATTTACAAGACAGATTATTATTATTATCGAACATCGGCCCAACTACGGTTCACACAGCTTCTCCTAGTTAGTACAAACCATTTTCCATGGTTTCCATCAGCTCAGAACCGCAAGCTCCGTTCTTCGTCAGACAGTTCGCTAGCTTTCTTTCACTCGAACATACGCGTAGCTCGGTGATATCGCCTGAGCTCAGGGCATCTTTTATCATAGCGACGTCGGTAATTATCCAAGAATCATCCACCAACTTCGTGCTTCTGGCAGCTTCATGAAGGTTCCTGCAGTCTGTGAACGCGATGCACGACCAAAAATCTGGACAAGAATAGACTTCATATAGATCATCTCTCCGAGCAGCGAATTTAATGCGTAACACTCTCCAGCTAGAGAACTATTCACTTTTCTCTTCAAAATTTTGGAACGCCAGGATAACACAATGGCTGAGTCATCTGACGTGTTACACACCATTAAAACACTGCCTCCAACACTGATCATCTTATCAGGCATCGATTTGACGCCAGCGTCTGCATGTCCGACCAGTGCCTATGAAGAAACGTCTCCCAAGTTTGGGGAAAAAATCTTTGAATTTCCGGAACTTTTGACTAAAAGAAGTTTCTTCACAGTTTTCACGTTTTTCAGCGTAGCTTTTCCATACTTGCTGCTCATGCTTTTGGCGAAAAAACACAGGTGTGGGCGGCTTGTGAAACTGATATTTGTTAACTTGCCAACCACAGAACGGAAAATGGTTTGGCTATCTGCACCTAACTCGGTTCCAGCGCCCGGGTTGTTGGAAGATCGGAGGTCAGGCACATCCAAACTCCGAAAATAGTGATTTTGGTCAACATAGATCCCTGAATCCACTTGCTCGATATGGAGACCTACATATCAAAAGTCTTAGTCATTGTCGCTTCCAAATGGAATCACTGCTTTCAACGGCTCAATCACCGTAACTTCGAAACTGTTGTCACCCGCATGCAGTAGACCGTCTACGTGAGAAACCAGCATGCCATTTGGTTCCAAACTTACGTTTTCTCGCTCTGCGGTGTAGAAAATGAACATTGATGGGTCCAGTTGTAACTTTTGATATCCGAGCTTCAGAAGTTCGCTTGTCAAGGTCATATAAAACGTGCAAGACGCATCACATACCCATAAACGGCACGTTTCAATCGCCAGAGAACTCCAGGAAAACATTCCGCACGAAAGGTGCAGACTGCAAAAACGCGCTTGTGACATCACTCGACTTTATTGTTCTGCCGTTTTTCGCAGCAACCGCTAGCAAAATCCGGATATTACCTTTCAGTACAGTTGGCGAGTCCTTCTCGAACGAAGTTGAATCTTAGTGATCGCCTCTAATAGTTAACCTCGCTTTGGTGATAACTTTGCCGTCTTGTATTTTCTCGTCGGTAATTTGCCGGTATTCTGATCAACTAAGTTCCACGAATAACGGTATGCTCCAGTTCTCTTACCTGCACGATTCAGAACTTGTAACCTGGAACCTATCATTTACGTTTTCAAGGGTGTTTTTAGCGTTGATACACCAAGCTAACGCAATTTCCGGTTTAATCTCTGGATCAGGTGTCAGCATCTTGCTCATCATGTTGTCCACAAGCGTGATTACGTTCGTTACATCCATTGGCATTTGGACTATAAGCTGCAGTAGAAGTCTGTTTAATCTGAAGGTATTCCGCAGTTGCCGTCAATTCCTCGTTGAGAAACTCTCGTCCACGATCCGTATGGAGAAATTTCATGGGTCCCGAACCTGCTTGAGAGATCCAACAGCGAAGAAGGGCTTCTCCGATGGTGATTGCATCTTTTTTTTGAATGAACGTCTTTATTGTGATTCTGGAGAATAAGTCCACTGCGTACAGAATGTACGCATAAGTTCCTTGACCATCATAAACTTTCAGGTCCAAAGTAACAACTTCATTGAAATCTATGGCTCGGGGTAACGCTGTTTTTGGCTTAGGTTTCCGATTGTCGTTAACCCGACAGCTTTCACAAGTGCGTACTTTTTCTAAGCACTTTTTCGTCTCAGTATTCAACTTTCCAACATTTTTGAGCAACCTAGTGAGCTTCTCAACAGAAGCATGTCTGAAATAGTGGTGTAAACGCCAAATATCTTTCTCTTCATACTGGTCAACAGCAGAAATAAGCGTCACAGCTGTTTCATTTGACTCTTCTGTTGGATGTGAGATTTCTACACTGAGATGCCCACTGCTGTCTTCTGATAAGTCAACATCTTTTCCGTAAATTGAGAATTTCTTCAATCCGACGTCAATAACCCCACAAGCTAGTTTCAGGGATGAATTAACCAGCAGCAGCGAGAAATCCTCGTCGATCACTTCGGTCTTCAACTTGAAAGAACGACGACCAATCACACACGGAAATTTGACACTACACTGCACTGTTGTGGGGCAAGCACAGTCCAAAATTTTCCTAAAACTTTGTCCAGCGGTGTAAAAACACGCTGTTTCAGCAAAGCTCCAAGAAACTAAGCAAAATTCGTCACTTTCATGAAGAGCGTCTAGATCTGGAGTGTTAACGGACATAAATAGGCCGAGATTTGAACGTGCTTCGTTCGCAGGTGTTGGTTTTCTGTCATTGTTTTTCTGACTACCAGATACTTTGATTTCGCCGTTTTTCTTGAACGGACATTGATCAGCCAGATGATAAACACACGGACACGTGCCGCCACTGTCGTGCTCACACTTGCAAGAAAAACACTTTATGGGTTTTCCGTCTCTTCCTAACGGGTTTTTGTTTCCCAGTTACTTTTTCTGTTGATCTGCACGCTTTGGAGGTGAGTAACTTCGTTTCAACGACTTTTTCCAACCGTTAGCAATTGGTGTAGTTTCCATTTCTCTGGAGACAAAAGTCGATTGTTTTTACCACGCCGGAACCCAACATGCTGTTTGCGGCTGACACAGATATTTTTCCTTTGAACTTTTTCAGTGAAGCTTTCATCTGCTCCAGCAATTTTTTCTGATCTCTACCACTTTGATAGGCAACCCCAGTGAGAATGAGTTGCGTTTCACGTTCATCCAGTTGAGCAGCTTCAAGCAGCTCGAAACAAAGCACAATGTCCGGGAGTTCAGAATCGGAGTTTTTGCACTTATAGTAAAGAGTCTGCCACTCCGCAACGAACTCGTTTATTTATTCGTTCGGTGAACGCTGTCTAGTTATGAAAGCGACATACCTTCGATAAGCATCACTGATATCGTCATCGCCATAAATTGTGCTAAGGAACTCAAGCCACAGCTTTATTCCTTCTTTGTTGTTGATTAACTCATCACCGAGCTTTGTATCAATTTTCTCTTTGATACGTGAAGGATGATCTTGTAACATATAAATTACTGTTTCTGCCTGCAACTCAGGCTTGATTGACCTCAATCTTGACCATCGCTCCAAATCCCGTTTGTATTCGGGAAACTTCTTGTTTTCTGAGATGAATGACGGTGGTTCTAGTTGCCTTGTCGACATTCTGCTACCATTGACTAATTAAAACACTTAAGTAAGAATAGTTGATTTTTTTATTAAACCACCACCATGCATATGTAACAAAGAACACTTTTACAAGACAGATTTTTATTATCGAACAGTCGCCGCTTGCTTCACACTGTTGAATGTGGGAGTTGAGAAAGTAGACGATAAGCAAATTAGACGGAGGTACTTAGAAGGAAGTTAGACGGTTTTACAAAACTGCAATTGTGAGAAAATAGACGAAAGTGAGAGAAATTAACTTTGTTCGTACACGCTTTAAAAAAAATAAAATTGTTTGTAGACAACAGTTCAATTTTGGTGGCAAAAACTTTTACAAGTCAATCATGCATAATTTATTGAATTCAAAACTCTCCTGTAATATTCAGATTTGACATTTTATGTTCATTTAAACTAATTGTTTTGATAGATATTGACAATTTATGTTTTTTTTGTATTTGTGAAACTTCACTCTTAAGAAAAATTTTTGTTGGCCCTTTCCTTTTTATAGCTTTTTCGTCTAAAATGCCAGATCTGTAAAAAAATAAATTCCGTCTAATTTCGTTTTTGTAGCATCCGTCTAATTTGCTTATCGTGTAATTTCCTAGGCCCCGTCGAATGTAGTTAAACGAATTGTCTCTACAGTTTGCGACTAAGTGTGAGCTGCCTAGAGAGTTTTTCACGTTTAACTATCCGAAGCTAAATCAATCAAAACGGAACTTTTATATTTTTGCTGTAGAAATGATAAAAACACTAATGAGACCGAACGCATTATCAATGGAAAACCATCTGTCAAAAAAGTGGATGAATGTAAGTATCTTTGCGGCAAATTTGATTTTGCAAGGTCAGATTAAAATCATCTTCAAAAATATGATAACAGCCTTAAGAACTTAAGATTGTATCAAAAAACATCTGACCGAAATACTGAACATGCTTCTTCATATTCTTGACATGATTCATTTGGAGTATTGATCTTTGTTTCTTTTGTTGTTTTTTGCGCTAGCGAGTACCTAGTGTTTTAGTACTAACCTAACTCGCAATTACAGTGTTCACTTCTGTGCCTTTTTGCTATGATAATTTGTAGCATTGGAAATTTCATAGCATCTGTTCTCGGCTTTTTTGGTGGCTAGTGTTTATGATGAACTAAGCGTCAGTGGTTATTGCCTCAGAAATATAATTTCTAGGTTGCAGTAGGTTCGAGTCCAAGATGTCGCCGAATTTTGAGCTTTATTTGTACTTTTTCTTATTGCACTTTATAAGAGCTGCTTTTTGTCGTGTTCTCGTTAATTGCATTTTATGAGAGCCGCTTTTTTGTCGTGTTTTCGCTAGTGTTTGCGAAGCGCAGCTTTGCCTCTGTGTCAAAAGTTTGCCTGTGGTGCAAAATATTGGGTCAAAATAGGGTCTTGATAGTGTTCTGGGAGTGCTCGGAACGGTTCCCAGTCACTGCCGCCCCAGTCAAAACCGCCACAAAAGCAGTTAGTTCCGCCCCAATGTCATTCCTCTTAATTAAACCCAATTAACTTTAACTAGCATGTAACGCACCTTCCGTGCTTCAAACAGATTCAAAACGTCAAAAGTGCTTATATATATTTAAATTTTAAAAAAATGAAAGCAGCTGTATCGAAAGACAGGGGAATCTTGCAGCGCTTTTGTTTAAAAATTCAACGATTAAAAAAATTGAGAAGACGAAGATCTGAAACCCAGTAGTTTTGGAGTTTTAAACATTTTAGTGTTAAAAGAAACTCAGCTTTTAAAACTAAAATTTTAAAAACTACTGGGTTTCAGATCTTCGTATTTTCAACTCAGAAACAAAATCCTAAAATGGCCATTAGCATAGAACTGGATTTTCCATTTTTAACGATTTTATTGGCGAAATCACAATTCATAAATGAGACTTATAGAACTTTCAGAAAAGAAATCACACAATTCAGTAAAGGAGACTCTATTTCATATTTTGAGTCCATAAATCAACTTCCTGTGAAAATCTTGACAGCACCCGGCCATAGTGTTGAGATTAAGTTTTGAGATTAAGTTTCTAGAGAGTTTTTCACGTTTAACTATCCGAAGCTAAATCAATCAAAACGGAACTTTTATATTTTTGCTGTAGAAATGATAAAAACACTAATGAGACCGAACGCATTATCAATGGAAAACCATCTGTCAAAAAAGTGGATGAATGTAAGTATCTTTGCGGCAAATTTGATTTTGCAAGGTCAGATTAAAATCATCTTCAAAAATATGATAACAGCCTTAAGAACTTAAGATTGTATCAAAAAACATCTGACCGAAATACTGAACATGCTTCTTCATATTCTTGACATGATTCATTTGGAGTATTGATCTTTGTTTCTTTTGTTGTTTTTTGCGCTAGCGAGTACCTAGTGTTTTAGTACTAACCTAACTCGCAATTACAGTGTTCACTTCTGTGCCTTTTTGCTATGATAATTTGTAGCATTGGAAATTTCATAGCATCTGTTCTCGGCTTTTTTGGTGGCTAGTGTTTATGATGAACTAAGCGTCAGTGGTTATTGCCTCAGAAATATAATTTCTAGGTTGCAGTAGGTTCGAGTCCAAGATGTCGCCGAATTTTGAGCTTTATTTGTACTTTTTCTTATTGCACTTTATAAGAGCTGCTTTTTGTCGTGTTCTCGTTAATTGCATTTTATGAGAGCCGCTTTTTTGTCGTGTTTTCGCTAGTGTTTGCGAAGCGCAGCTTTGCCTCTGTGTCAAAAGTTTGCCTGTGGTGCAAAATATTGGGTCAAAATAGGGTCTTGATAGTGTTCTGGGAGTGCTCGGAACGGTTCCCAGTCACTGCCGCCCCAGTCAAAACCGCCACAAAAGCAGTTAGTTCCGCCCCAATGTCATTCCTCTTAATTAAACCCAATTAACTTTAACTAGCATGTAACGCACCTTCCGTGCTTCAAACAGATTCAAAACGTCAAAAGTGCTTATATATATTTAAATTTTAAAAAATGAAAGCAGCTGTATCGAAAGACAGGGGAATCTTGCAGCGCTTTTGTTTAAAAATTCAACGATTAAAAAAATTGAGAAGACGAAGATCTGAAACCCAGTAGTTTTGGAGTTTTAAACATTTTAGTGTTAAAAGAAACTCAGCTTTTAAAACTAAAATTTTAAAAACTACTGGGTTTCAGATCTTCGTATTTTCAACTCAGAAACAAAATCCTAAAATGGCCATTAGCATAGAACTGGATTTTCCATTTTTAACGATTTTATTGGCGAAATCACAATTCATAAATGAGACTTATAGAACTTTCAGAAAAGAAATCACACAATTCAGTAAATGAGACTCTATTTCATATTTTGAGTCCATAAATCAACTTCCTGTGAAAATCTTGACAGCACCCGGCCATAGTGTTGAGATTAAGTTTTTTTTATTAAGTTTTTTGAAGTTTTTTTTTAAATTGAAAAAGTCTTCTCGTTAACTTAACGCATTTGAGCAGCCATAATTGTAGGCATGAAAAGAGTTGCAGCCCGTAAAAGTACCCCGACAACTCCCAACGAGAAGTTTGGAATTTTCAACTTCTGAATCTGGTAAATCTAAGTTTTGTAAATCTAAGTTTTGTGAAAACTTCAATTCTCAAAGTGAAAAATCTTTAAAAACTTATATATTGGAAATCAAAAGGTTTTGAGCATTCATATCCAGCGCCTCAGCATAGACCTGGAAACTGAGTATTTGAAAAATTATAAAATTGTCTTATCTTGAAAACTACAAGGATTTGAGCAGTCAAATTTGTAGGCAAGATTCTCAAGCCCTGAGAGTACCCTCACAGTAACCATCTACGGGCTTGAATTTTTTTAAATCCAAATTTTTTGAAAAATTTATAAAAATTGTCATATCTCTAAAACTACAAAGAATTGAGCAGTCATATTTAGAGGAAAGATTCTCAAATGCTGACAGTACTCTCACAGTACCCAACTACAGGATTGGGAATTACAAATTTTCGGAGTTTTTTTTAAATCTGAGTTTTTGGAAAAATTTTGAAAAAATCATAACTTCATATCTCGAAAATTACAAGGATTTGAGCAGTCATATTTGGTAGCAAGGTTTGTAACCTCTGATAGTACCCTGAAAGCACCCAGCTACAGGGTTGAAAACTTCAATTTTTTTTGTTTACGTTTTCTGCAAATTTTTGAAATATCCTGAAAGTCGTGGTATCTTGTCAACTAAAATGATTTGGGTATTCATAATTGGCGGCCTAAATGGCAACACCTGGAGAAACCTGACAGAATCCTTTTATTGTGTAGCTAATTTCAAACTTTGCGAATTGAACACTAAATTCAAACAAAATCCAAAAAAAAATTAAAAATCGAAAAAAGATAGTGAAGCCCGCATTTAACTATATAATAGATTAATTCAGTTCGTAATACTGCTGACTCGCGTGTTGCACTCGTGTTGAATCCAATCAAAATGACCAATGAATGATCCATAAAGTATTCATTTCATATTAATTTTAAGTGAACCGATCTGCTGCAGTAAACTACTAAAATGAAGGGAATAGTTTTTGGGGTGGAAACGACTGCTTTTGGGGCGGAAAGGACCGGTCACGCTCGTAACGTCAATTTGGCCGAGTTTTGACTAAATGCGAGGTCCAATGGAATTAATTTTCAGAAAAAAAATCATCTGTTATTATCAGTAATTATTTTGTATTTGTTCTGTAAGCTTAAACTCATTGCTGTCATATATTGAGATATTTAGGCTGAAAAAGTAGCCTGAAAGTTATCAAATGCTAGATCAACTTAAAACTTAAGTTGAGATTCCAATTCTCACACTTGGTGTGATTTTTAGTTGAAATGATAAAATTATAAACCTTGAACTGCATTCTTGTTCACACAACTCTTAGGCAGCCATCCCTATGTCTTGTGCTCGTCAAAATTGTAATGGGTTTTTCAGATACACTATATTGTATATTAGGCTGTTGCGTCGTCGATTCAATAATAATGCGTGTATCTCTGCGCGTGTGTGTATTATGTTTTGTTTAGTTTTCAAAGACTCTTAGCACGTTATCTTTAAATCCAGCAACGATTACCCTAAGCAAAGCTTAGATAAAATAATTTTTTCTTAATCACAGGTTGCATTGATGGAAGACTCAGATGGCTCAGTGCACCTCCGCAACCTGTCTATTCATCAAGCAAACTCAGAGGAAGATGCACTCAATTTACTGTTCATCGGAGACACCAACCGAATGGTAGCCGAGACTCCCATGAACCAAGCATCCACCAGGTCTCACTGTATTTTCACCATACACATATCCAGCAGGGAACCTGGCTCCGCTACCATCAGAAAGGCCAAATTGCATCTCGTAGATCTAGCGGGAAGTGAGAGGGTTCATAAAACAGGTGTCAATGGCACGCTGTTAACGGAGGCCAAATACATCAACGTTTCACTTCACTTTCTGGAGCAGGTACACGGAATCGCAAAATGAGCTCTCTGATCCACCGTATTTTTACTATGCTTACGACATCGTGATGCATGATTTGGTCGAGGTGTAAATAATATCAGCTTAATCTAAATGTTTTGTGCTTCAGGTAATCGTTTCTCTGTCCGAGAAGAATAGAACTCACATTCCCTACCGTAACTCTTTGATGACCTCAGTTCTCCGAGACTCACTTGGAGGCAACTGTATGACTACTATGGTTGCAACTCTCTCTGCTGAGTTAAAAAACATAGACGTAAGTTCTCACACTATAGCTTCACTCCTTGAAAAAGTACATACATTTCAGGATGAAAATTTAATATTTTTCAGATGTTAATTCATCCGTCTCTTCCTGCTTAAATCAATACATCCCACTAGTCAGTACGGTAAAAAACGGATTCGTTTCAGGAATCTATCTCGACGTGTCGTTTCGCTCAACGAGTGGCTCTGATTAAGAACGACGTAAGTGTGAACGAAGAGTTAGACCCGAGACTGATGGTTGCGAAGCTGAAGAAAGAAGTGCAGGAATTAAAAACCCAACTGGCGATGGGATCCGAAGATGGAATGATGCTAACTGAGGCACTCGGTGCAGAAGAACTAGACAACTGGAAGGTTAGATGTAGGAAATACCTGGATGATAAAGACCCGGAAGCAGTTCTTGAAACGGGACCCGATTTGAGGAAGATATTGGCTTGCTTCAAGTTTCTGAAAGCGTTTTACAATGAAGCTGTCAAAAGCTCTAAAGCACTTCCGACTAGCGCAAGGTCAACTCTGCAGCAAGCTACTGTTCACGAAAGTCCGAACATGCAAATGGTTCCGATGAGTGCTTATGATAGTAAAGAAGTCCAGGAATTGAAACAAGTTTTAAAACAGAGAGACAATGAAATCAATATCCTCGTCAGCATGTTGAAAAAAGAGAAGGCTAAGAATTTGAACACTTCTAGTCTAACAAGTAATGTAAATTCTTCTGTTTCAACTAACGGAAGTAGTAATTTTGAATATTCAACAGCTGAGAGGAAGTATGATAGAAATGAAATGCGAGAATCTTATAGTTCAAATACGAGTGCATATTCTTCTGCGCCGGAACAAACCAAGAACAGCAAAAACATGAGCCGAGAGTCAACAGTCAGTACTTCCATGGCAATAGATAATCAGAATAGAGTCGCAATTGGTCATTCGAACAATGCATACAGTCATAAGGCTACTGTGAACAACATAGTTCAGAAGAAAATGGGTAAGACTTGGTTTTTTTCATCTAAGTGGAAGGTTTTTAAGAGTAATGAACGTAGTGAAGACTTATATAGCTCTTCGTGATTTTTTTTTGTTTTTTTTTCTGGAAAAAGTCCTAAAATGCTCTAATAACTACAGATGTGCATTCATACATATTAATGCATTTATGAATGCACTTAGGTATGTATGCACTCTTTGAGCTCAATTGAAATTCATCTGCTGAAAGTGACGTAAATAGCACTCTCCAAATACAAACGTCGAAATGGCGCGAAAAAAAAACGTGAACGATTTCTAGTTTCGAAAGTGGAATTTAACTTTTAGATTTCCAGCGGAATAAAAATTTTACCTATTGATCCAGTTTTCTCAAGTTGAATTAATGTTATCAAATAACGCGCTAGTCATAAATTGTTCTAGAAATTCAAAGAGCTTAAAGGCCATCTATTTTTTTTTGAAATTCGAAAGATTCAGTGTTTTTATTTCTGTTTACTTGCGTTCATTAATCTTTTGCAAATGTCAGTTGGCTATGTTTATATAATCAGCGAGCATAGGACTTCATTGAGAAAAAATAGACAATTTCTAGAAATAATTGACGTGGAACATGAATGACAAAAATCTTGAAAATCTTGCGGTAGAATAACGGATAAAGGATACCAATTTCGACCGAGAAATTAATTAGGCAAGGCACAAATGAGTTTTGTGCAATACATCTGAATCGACGAGAATGACTGGTTGCAGTCCAAGTAGTATTATTTCATTTGCGTGTTTTGATGAGCGGAAGTTTTAAAATCAGCGTGAAATTTTTTAACTAGTTTATTTTACTTAAAGCTTCCATGTAGCGTCAGAAGTAGCCGGTGAACACTTATATTTTGAGCTGATCAATAATAATTGTTGTGTAGGCGACATGTCAGTGGGTCGGCAGGAGGCTTTTGAAATCTTCAAGCGAGACTACAAGGACAGGGAGGGGATAGAGAGGAAGAAGGCACAGCTGAAGGAGTGCTACGCCACTGCCAAACACAAGGGACAAGCAGTCAACCACTACAGACTCAAAATTAGTCAGTCTGTTAACTAGCCTAAACATTGTGTGTTTACCATGTTTTCTATCTGTTTGGCTGCGATGTTGTAGATGAACTGAAGGCGGCCTTGCAGCAGTGTAGAATATCGGCAGCAGTGGGAGGGGCAGGGGACTCAGGCTCAGGGGAGACGAGTGAAGAGGAGAGACGACTGAGACAAAGCATGGAGAGGGAGAAGGAAAAGTGAGTCGTTGAATAGAACTCTAAATTTACACTTACATATCTTAGGTTACATTTTACATATCGCAGGTCATATTTTGCATTGCGCATGTTATATTGCGTGATTTCAGCCCCAACCAATATGTGAAATTAAAACCACACCAATATGTGATAAGTCTTTTTATTCATTAATTTTGAGAAGTGAGCGCGCCTAAAAACGTCCAGAATCTTATGTTAGCTTAGTAATTACTGGTATGTGTCTATGTGGGCAAAGAGTCTTTTGCGCATCGTAGAGGTCTGACTGAGGCTGAGTACGGAGGCATTTACAGATTAAGCTGTAAATGTTTTGTGTGCTATAGGTACAAGGAGTTGTTTGATGAGTTAAAGCAGACTAAGAATGAGATAGAACATCTGCAGCACATGTTGGAACAGGATAAACTCCTCATCGTCAAGGAGTTCGAGGCCTGGTGGGCCACCCAAGAACAGAAGCAGGAGCAGAAACAACTAAGCCACACTCAAGTTAGTCATTTCATCATATTTCTGTTTTTAAATTTTCCGTCAAGACATCAATTTTGAGACAGAACTTCAGTCAGCTTTGTGAGAAAAGGTTGAATATTCCTTGTAGTAAATAGCTGTACTTCTAAACTGTTTCATTGCATTTGCGTGCGCAGTGTAATAGTACGACTATTCTTTTTCCAATATAATTCGCAAATATTGGTACCTATTTTGGTGGCACCCACGGCTTTTTGATAGCATGTGCTTTGATATCGATTATTACAGTGCTAATTTAAATTATCCTGACAAAATGAATAAAACTTGATTTTAAAAGCTTTTTTTCCAAATTGGTTTGGTTTAAGACAAAAAATGATCAGACATAACTTGCTTAGAATTTTAGCAGAATTAATAGGTGCAATATATTTGGCGAAATTCGGGCCCAAATTTTTACACCAAAAACTACCACTTTCTGCTGTTTTAGTCAATCAAAAATTACGCCAAAACTTATCGTTTTATTGCTGACAAAAATATATCAAAGTGAGCCTAATAAAATTTAAAAACCTCCAAAAGTTGGCGCAAATTCTGTTTTTAAGAAAAAATTGGTACTTCAAATAGTGAAACTGTCATTTAATGACTATCAAACGCACTTTTTTTGGAATGTACAATTTATACATAATTTGGCTTGTTTTCCCATTTGTCACATGCAAAGATAGCGTGGATGCCTTCAGTTTGTTATGTTGCAAAGTGATATAAGCAAAATTATATCCATTTGTATTTGGTGCCACTGCTACATTGCATTGGAATTTTATTGTTCCGACCATTCGGGTGTATCAGTTTTTTCTTTTTGTTTTCTACGCAAAACAGGTGTCACAAATAATCATCGGATTGGGTTGAGTGATATATCATATTTGAGCCCTTACAGTCATAATTTGAACTACACTAAAAAAAATTCAAAAATGTTTTCCCGGTGTCGAGAAAAACCGGTTTGAAATGTTTTCGTCTTTTTTCGAGCGTATAAATCGAGCGAGCAGTCTTATTTTAACTGCTTAAAGTAGCTTAATTTAAAACGTAAAGATTTTGTTTTAACTGAGTAACGCTAGTTTAATTTTAGTAGTTAAGCGCCTTTTTGGAATCAAAGTTTTCAAAAAAACTGCAAAAGTTGAATTTTTTTTTTCATTTTTCAAGAAACTTTTTTAAGAAAAATTGTTTTTCATTTTGCTTATTTTACTGTGAATGTCGAATACACCTAATCTGCAGTTTTTTTTCAGCTCCTTTTATCACACCACGCCGAAAAAAAAACGACAATATTTTGAAAAAACTTGAAAAGACTATGGTCGGAACATTCTGTGCCACTTGCACAGTAAGCGACTCTCCTTGTTAGCTTATGTAGTTGCTCTATTTGTGGCTAGTGTAAATAAAATCTCAAGTGATCGTGACGCAGATGCTAGTACAGAATTCTCCTGGTCGTAGGATTGAATCCGCCACAGCAAAAGTTGTAATTTTGAAGGCTGGTTTTCACCTTTTTTCAATTTATAGAGCTGCTTTGTTGTCGTTTTTTCGCCGGTGTTTGCGTAGTGGAGATTCGCCGCTCAGAGTGAAAAGGCGATTTAGAAAGTTTTGCTTGTGACATAACATGCAGATCAATTTTTTCTCATGAGTAGAGGTTTCAGGGAGATACTCACTACTCTCGGGACTCAACGATGAACTCTTCGAAGACTATGACTCATTCTACGAACTATTTGCCAAACTCAGACTCGAACCATCAAATCACACGCAACTCCAGTTCATCTTCATCCTCCCTTAAAAGTAGACATATAACAGAGGCAAACAGCAGTAGCGGTGCTTCAAATTCTCAGTCTCCGATCAACTCTTCGATTCCTCTGACTGGAGACGCCAAGGCGGATGCAGATATAATCGCTTTTTTCAAAGCCAGACAAAAAGCACTGGGTCCAAGATGAGGATATGTCACTGTTTTGAAACTGAAAAATTTGAACGTGGCGCTGAATTCAAGTCAGTTTTTGATAAGGAAGGAACATTTGAACTCGTCTCGACGCTGTTAGTTGCTTGCAAATGAGCGAGAGGGAATGCCTGATTTTTTTGTAGATTTGAAACAAATCTGTAAATGTACATTTGTAAATATCATCACCATGTCCATTTGCTTTTAGTTAGAAATTTATTTTTTTTATGCTTCATTTGTTTTTGCATCAAGTAAGCTTCTAATGTGGATGGGTTGTGTTTTTGAGTTGATAAAATTGAATCTTGTCTTTTTTTTTAACGATTTCTTGTCATTCAGGTCCCGATTAAACCGTTAGATTTATCAACTTGTTCAAAATTGAAACTCCATTTAAGGCAAATTACGCGAAGTATCTAAGGTCAATTCAAAAAGTATCAATCACATCTTAGCAAGAAACTAAATTTTAGTTATAGCATTAGCTTGCCAAGAGAACAGATGTAAGTGGCGACTGTGTTATTTCAGGAAAATATTTTTTTCGTTGCCTAATAAAAAGCTTATTAAAAGCTGGAGATCAAAATTTATATTAAGAAAGCGATGAACTTGTTCTTGAGAGTCAAAAAGTTTTCAGGCCATCTATTTCTCACTATGAAACGTGAATGACGTTGATTCGAACGTTGATATTAATTTAACGATGTATCAGAGGATTGAAAAAATAAAAAATAACATGTTAATCTAGTTTTCTCTTTGTTAGTTTTATTTACCCTTGCGATAAGCAAGGGTATTGCAATCGGGTACTAGACTTTTTCCCGTAAATAACTGTAAGCACAGGGCTCGTCTCTTCTGGTCTCATCTCAAGTGGTGCTTTCTTTCATATTTAATTCAAATTTCGTACCGTTCCTGGCCAGGAGGCAGGGCTGTCATATTGTTAACTAAAACGTTTTTAACATGTTAACATGTTAATTATATGAAAAAAACACGTTAAAAACAAAATTGAGTTTTAAAATCACTCATTGAGTTGTTTAAAGAGAAAAGCCAGCTTTCCAGCCTTCTCGACGCCCAAAGAACTTCGGAGTTTTCCATAAGTGAGTCCGAGAGTTGAGAAACACCGCTCCAATCCTGCACTGGAGGAGATAGCATTGGCCATTCACTCTCGACCTTTTTGTAACCCTCAGCAACCCTCGACCTTTTTGTAACCCTCGACCTTTTTGTAGCTCCGCTGTCTGTCTCTTCTTTGGAGCCGGCGGAGCAGATGATGTTGTAGTGGCAGAAGATGTGGATTGCTCCTGGATGTCATCGTCATCGTCCACATTCCGGCAATCCCTCATGTGCTTCTCCATGCGTGCCGCATTGTTCACAACCTCAAAACCGCAGGTCTTGCATTTGGCCCGTTTAACGCCGCCAACGATAATCTCTTTGAAGCTGTACCACACGTCTTTCTTCTGCCGCGGCATGACACAATCTGAAATAAATATTTGTTAGTGTATGACGCATGCTGTTAGTACATCATGTGTTAAAAACAATGGTACCAATAGGTGTTATTAACATGTTAAATATAGGTCTGTTAATAACACCTTGTTAATAACATGACAGCCCTGCCAGGAGGTAATGCTAACGACTGGGTGGACTCAAAGGTCGTGGGTTCGAATCTTACCAGGACATGTTTTTTTTCAAAAGGGAAGTTTTCTGTTTTGAATACAATTTTTTCGGCCAATTTTTTGTCTTCTCATCTTTTGTTTTCGGTTTTAGTTTTTTATTCTTAAATTATTGTGTTGAAAAAATGTATTTTTTTTTTGGATTCGTGGTTTTTGGACTAGATTCCTGCAGTTCATTTCCCGTTTTATTAAAGTGAATTTTGATTTATTTGGTACTGTTTTTTTTGGCTTTTTTTATTAAGCTTGTATTTAATTTTGATTTAGAAATGTTTGTATTCTTGTTGAACGTAAGTTGTCATTTTATCAAGTCTGATTTTTAATAATTTTGTTTTAATAGTTTTTTCCGAGTAAATGGTTTCGGCTGATGTTTTATGGCATAATGAAAATATATTGCATTGTTTCGAGGGCAAAAATTCCCGGCAGTTAGCCTAGAGTGAACTTAGCTTCTATCGAGACATACGAAAAAAAATTTTTTTGAACTATTTTCAACGTTTTCCATTTTTCGAATTTTTGTTTTTCTTATGTTTGTGTTTAATCGCAAGTTTTGCTAAGCTCTGCTTCGCCTCTGTGTAGTAAAGTTCTATTCCTGAATTTCTTTTGATTTACCAATAAATGTTTTATTAAGACCATTAACGTTTTTCCAACTGTCTCTTGGTTATTTTTTTAGGTTAACTTCCATTGTTTGTTCACGATCATTTTTTTTACTTGGGCTCATTTGAAACCGGTTTTAAATTTTTTCGAAGCACAGCAATGAACGCTGTGAAGACTCTTAAATAGGTGGATTTTGTTCCGGAAAAATTCGTTTGCGCCAAATATGATCTTTTGCGGTTTGGCTTTTGGTTTCTGTTTTAAGTTCAATTGAAAATCATGTGCTAAAAAGGCAAATCACGCTCTGCGAAATTTTTAATGGCGGGATGAAAACTTCGACGAATTAATTTTTTAAGATGCCCCAAGTGTACAAAGTTTCATCTATTGATCCGATTTTCTCAAATTGGGTTAATTTCATCAGAAAAGTGTCAATCATAAATTGTTCTTGAAATTCAAAGAGATTGAAGGCCATTTGTTTTCTTCTTTGAAATTCGAAGGTTGAAGTGTTTATAAATCAAGTCAGTCATTTTGTTCGGTTTTCTTGCGTTTATTGACAGGTTTCCAACTGTCTGTTAGCTGCTATCTTTGATAATAAGTAGAAATTCTAGTGGAATATAAATTTCACTGCTGAATCCAATCCGGTCTTCTCAAATTGGGTTAGCCTCATCAAAGTAATTCGGAATCTCAATTCCAAAAGTTTTTGGGGTACAGAAAATTCGTGGAAACAAAAGTATATTCTTGGTCATTGTTCCTTCTAGCATCAAGGCTTAACGCATCGGTTGCCATTGATGCAAGAAGAGTGCTTTTTAAGAATCTCAGCGAAAATATCTGTGCATAAGTTTTGATCACATTCCAGTCGCGTAAATTTTATGATTCAGTGTTTTGAATTTCAGGTTTTCGTTTTGTGCCGATAGGCTGTCTGTTTGAGTGTACCTCACAGGGATGATACACAGCGGTATTCTCGGCTCGTGTCTCAGATCGACTACACGTCTCAAAAAGGCTAGTCTTGTTTCACTTTTTCGGATGATGTTTGTTATAATTGCCATCTTTTAGTTATAATTTTAGTTATAATTATCCTCGCGTTAGTTATAATTGCCATCACGGTTGCTGCAAAATTCTGAGCTCTAGATCATATATCATTTGAATATAAAAGTAATAAGCTTCAAAACTAAATTAAAATGCTTAATTGAATTTAACCGTGGAAACGTTGAAATTGTTTCAAAGGTTTTTGCTTCTAATGTTTGTGGGTCGTCGCGTATCACCAGAATCTTTTTGGACAGTAGTGGTCAATGCAGCAAACGCTACTCATCGCTAGATAGTAAATCAATTGCCAAATATGGAAACGAAGTGTACTATGGAGTGTTCACTCCTAAGATGAAGGCTGTCAAGGTATTCTCGCTTGTGAACTCGGCTGCTGTGATTATTGCATTGCCTTTTTTCTGGGACTGGAACAAGACAAAACTGGCTCAATACTGGAAGACAGGGGCTCTGGTTTTTACAATAGGGATCAGCGTCGGTTAGTCGAAATTAAACAAGGCTCATGTTTTTAAACTAAATTTTTATAAAAGAGTCAGCCATTTAAATTTTTTTCGGTGAGTTTGGAAATTTGAGTTTCAATATTTCAGTGCCATTTGGCTCCTCAACTGGTTAAATTATGAGTTTCGTTTAGCGCTATTCCTTTATCTTTTCAATTAAAATATCCACAATTCTTCTTAGAATGGCCTTGGGAAAAGTGTGATTTTCAGCTCTGGTTCTTCCGTTGTTTCTGCACAACATGTCCCGTCAGTATGTGACTCACATGTTCTACAACTTCGAGTCCAAACAGTTCACTCTCAGATACTACTCCCTCTTCCTCAGACCCAAACACGTGACCTTCTCCCCTGATGATGTGTCAGTGCCTCTGAGGAAGGGATTTGCCACTCATGCCGTCCAAAACAGACCCTTTTTCATCGCCAAAGAGTACTTTTACAATGAACAGATGTACGGCAGGTTTCTGGGATACGAGTACAAGCCTGAACATGAACGGAAATAATTTTGGTACTTATATTTCATTGGAATTTAATTATTCTCTTATCTTCTGCGATTTGTATTCAGACCGTTTCAGGTATGGTGCTTTTAATGGATTTAGAAATGTTTGCTTTCGGGTATTTTGATTTGTAACCGCGTGGAGGGGAACTTAGAGAATGTGATTATGAGTAGAACATCTCTAGTTAAATGTCACCCTTTTCCCGACCGCATGCACTTTTCTGTGTTTCTAACTTTAGCCAACCTAGTCCAGTTGTCATGAAAGTTGGCATGTGGCTGCATTGCGCAATTACTAACTAACACTTTGTCCTCAAATTTTGTAAAATCAGTGGTTACACACAATAAAAATGGTTTTTATGTTTAAAGATTTACATGTGGCAGGGAGACGGTAGCGAAGACGCTTATATAGGTCACGATGAGTTGTTTCAGGATAAGTCAATTTCCTCACTCTCAAAACTATTATTTTGTCAGTTTGACTTTTTGTTTCAAATATCAATTCAAGTTTTTTTGCTTAAAGGAGGGAAGGCAAATTACATTCTCCTATTGAGATAGCGGAAATGGCGCAAAAAAAAACGTTTTAAAGTGCGAAAGTGGATTTCAAATTTGAGATTGCTCATCGGAATGAAAAAATTACCTAATAAAGCTTCTAAAATGAAGCTCCTATTTATAGCTTCTAAAATGAAAAATCAGTTCCACAGATCACAATATAAACAAGCAGTCACATATGTTTGAAATCTTTTCAAATGGCCAAAAACTACTTCAGCCGACTCTCGGTTGAAGGTTGCCGGTGGGAGCGCGTCATCGCTTTGCCCTGGCCCTATCCTCGTTGACAAGCGACTATGGCGGTCACTATTCTGCCGCTTGATTTCACGCTGTTTACGCTAGCGAGCAGCTGGTGTCTTAGTAAGAACATTTTTTTCTAACCTAACTCGCCAATAAAAGTGTCCAATCGTGTTTCTTTTTGCTGTAATCACGATCTGTGGCATTGGAATTTTCATAGCATCTCTTCTCGGCTTTATTTATGGTTAGTGTTTGTTATGGACTAAGCGTCCGTGGCTGAGTGGTTAGTGACTGAGACTCATAATTTCTATGTCGTAGGTTCGAGTCCGAGACGTCGCCAATTTTTGGCTAATTCGAGGCTTATTTTTACTTTTTATGAGAACTCTAGAGCTACTTTTTGTCGTATTCTCGCTAGTTTCTGCGAAGCGCAGCTTCGCCTCTGTGTAATCAAAATAAAAAACTATCCATCTGCTATAGTTGAAATTTCAACCAATCAGAATTCAATAAGAGAAATTTCAACCAATCAGAATTCAATAAGAGAAATTTTGGGACTTATGCCATTAGTTTTTTGTTTTGAGTCCTATGAAGAATGCGATATGTGGGAATTAACCCGCTCTCTATTTAGGCTAGTTTTTAAGAGCTGATGAACGTGGTGAAGACTCATAAATAGGTCGTGATGATCAGTAATTTTCGAAAATTGAATTGAATTTTCAGATTTTGCAGTGAAATTAAAAATTCATCAATTGATTAAGAGTAATTAACTTAGTGAAGACTCTTATGCAGGTCTTGCTTTTTTTCGTTGTTTTTCAGGAAAAAGTCGTAACGTGCATAAAAGTTTCTTATAACTACAGATCTGCATTCATACATATTGATTCATTTATGAATGCAAATAGGGATATATATGCACTTTTTGAGTTCAATTGAAATTCATCTGCTGAAAGTGACATAAATAGCACTCTCCAAATACGAACGTGGAAATGGCGCGTAAATCGTGAACGAATTTCAGTTTCGAAAGTGGAATTTAATATTTAGATTTCCAGCGGAATAAAAATTTTACTGTTGATCCAGTTTTCTCAAGTTGGATTAATGTTATCAAAAAAGCGCCAGTCATAAATCGTTCTAGAAATTCAAAGTCAGTGTTTTTTTTAATGTTTACTTGCGTTCATTACTCTTCTCCAATCTTCCATTGGCTATGTTCCAGTTTTTACCAATGTGATTTAGTTTGATCAAAAAAAGGTTTATCACAGATTGTTCTTGAACTTCAAAAAGCTTTAAGAGCATATATTTTTACGGAGATATTCGAAAGTTCAAATTTATTTCAAAAACAAGTTAATGTTCTTGCATTCATTTCCAGCTCTGTTGGCTGTTTTTTTTCTGATTAAAAATGTTGTTGGTAAAATATGCTGGAAATTTAGAGAGCTCATCGTGTTGTGGTTTTTCTAAATGCGAAAGTTTGGAAAACTTAATAATATTTTCGGTTTTACTTGCGTTCATTGACACTTTTCCAACTGTTTCTTGGTTGCTGTGTTGCAGTTTTTTGTTATTTTTCACTTTCTTTGGAAGAAATGATCGAGTCCGTTCCAAAATGTGATGACTGAGTGAAGTTTTCAGGTATGTCATGTCCTCTAATCTGAGTCTGACGTCATCAGTCATCCCTCAGAGTGCTCTGCTGAAGATCCTGAGCAACCCCCACAATGTGGGCAACCTCAACCAGGACGCCATGTTCCTCATCGCCAAGAGCACAGAGTTCTTCATCTCCACCCTCACTCGACAGTCATTCGATGATGCCGATGACGTCACACACGAACTAGGCACACTAGTCGCCAAATGATCATTTAAACTACTTCCAATTTATTGCTCAAGTCGTGCTCAATTCGTTCAAGTCATGCGAAATTTGCCCTAAAGTACAAAACATCGAAGCTAAAATTCAAAAAGCCAACGCAATGGGGAACGAAAAAAAAACGAGTTTTTTTCATTGTGATGAAAGTGATTTCGTTTTACTGATAGTTGACTGTTTCAAAATTCAGTCTTATGAAATTGCTTAAAATCTTCAGAGGGACCGAAAAAGTCCGCAAGAAATAGCCGAAAAGAACACTTTACCTGTCTAGTTTTTCTAAAACTTCGCTTATTTGAAAGTTAACATAATTGGTTAGCTGCATTTTTTTTTCAATTTTCAAAATCATTTGGCTACTAGGTTACGATCACGTGTCGGAGTTTGTTCAGTCAAACGAAGTACTCCAGTTTCTACACGACATTCTACCGCCCAAAGTCACTTATGCAGAAGCACTGGAAATGATGAAAAACAACGACAACGATTTCTCAGGCAGTGAAGACGAAAATTCAGCAGCACAGAAAAAAAAGACTAGCAAAGCTAAAGCAAACAGTTCCAACGCGAACTCGAAATCAAATTCTAAAACCGCAAAAACTAAAACAACTGAGGCTGAAAATAAAGCAACCTCGTCTAAAAAGGGTAAACATAAACCAAAAGGTAATCAGCAAAGTTCTTCGACAAAAGAGGTAATAGAAACTGAAGTGGTCGTGAAATCAGAAACGAAAGAGGAACCAATTGATGTTCATTTTGAAGAGGAGGAAAGCAACCATGTGTCAAGCTCGTTGGTGGAGTTCGAAGTGGAACCAGCTCACGTGCAAAATGAGAATTCAAGTTCAATGGACGCAATCGAGTCTTCTTTATTAGGAGATTCTGGCAAAGCAAAAAGAGGCGTCGATCACGACTGTTTCAACTAGTTTTTAGCGCCAATTTGGTCAAAGTTTTAGATTGACACCCCGGAGAGAAGCGATTTCAATCGAGAATCAGTCAGCTCGAAGATTTGTGAGAAGATATTTGTAGGGAAACTAGTTTAAATTACTGAATTAACATTAATCTCGGGAACTAAGTTTTTCTTCAAAAAGTCAGTGCTGATTTAAACTGTCCGGAAAAAAGTAACAAAATTTAAAACTTCAAACGCGTTTTTCTCGAATTGGATTAAGATAAAGATAAGACAAAAAAGAAGTGGACAAAGGTTAATTATAATTTAAAGAGAATTACTATTGTGAAGTATATTTTGCGAAATTCGGAACCGACATTGGTTCATTTTGGCTTTTTTATTAAACCAATTATTACTCCGCTAAAGCTACCAAGTTAATTGATAAAAATTTTATATCAAAAGAAGTCTCTTAGACGGCCCAACGAAATTTGAGAAAGTGAAAATCTCCATAAACGTGCGCAAAACGATTAAATTTTGTTTGTGAACAAAAATTTTCAGTTTTATACAGTCAAAATGAATTTTTGGCTATCAAGTAAAATGTATTCTCGTATACAGATGTTTGGAGATTTTATCCTTTTAGAACTGTATTGGGCTGTGTAAGATGCATCGTTTGTGTTTGTTTTTTTAATCAAAAAACGTGGTAGTATTAATGGTAGTTTGTTTATTTAGGAGAGTAATATACAGACAGGTAAACAATAAACGCATGTACAAATCAAACCCACCAAGGATCATGCAAAAAGCTATACAGCTTATCGAGGCTTGACCCTGAGAAAATCTATGACAGAAGTTGCGAGATAATATCCGACTTGATGATTCAAAAAAATAAATCTATAAGATCTCCATTATCTCTAAGGAACATTGAAAACATGTTTTTGAAATACCCATTTAGTTGATGCTCAGTTCATTGGCTTAGATTATCTGGTATCAGCTCGTTTGGTTTCAAAAAATTATAACATTTCAGAGATACATTTTTCCATGAACGCTGCATTATTTCTGTTCTAGTTTTCATGCTTGGTTAAGTTTTTGCCACAGAGGCCCGAGTAACCCGACGATTATTTAGATATTCCAAATTAAAAGCTTCAAGGGGAGTTTTACCACGAAGTTGATTAAAAGTTTCTTTGAATGTTTGTCTGAAATATAAGTCAAAAACGGTTTCAATCTCAAAGGAATGTAGGATATATGAGGCATGATCAAACTTTCTCTTGAAACAAATAGTTTTAAAATTACGTTTTTGCATCACAAATATCTTTTCTAATAGGATTTTTGATGATGCACCAAATGCAATTAAACCGTACGAAATGATTGGCTTTGCACAGCAGTTATTAAAATTAACCAGCACATTTTTCGAGAAATAGTTTCTACCCTTGTATAGTAAACCGTTAAATTTAGCTAATTTACCACAAACATTATAAAAATGACTTTCAAATTTGAGTGTGATGTTCATTTGATTTCCTAAATCCCTAAAATCAGAAACCTCGTCGAGTACATTATTCTCAAAAGAAAATTTTTCATTTAAGTTATCCCGTCCAAACTTCATTATTTTGCACTTTTGATTTATAAGCAGTTTTTTATTGTTGCACCAATTACAAATTTTGTTTATTTCTGGCTGGAATTTTGTTTTGGATGCAAATTTTTGAGCATCCACTACCGTTGTATCATCTGCAAATAATGTTAATTAAACGTTGCTGGCCGACGGCATATCATTTATGTATAAAAGTAACAAATGGCCCCAAAACTGAACCTTGAGGAACACCTTTTGTACATTCTCGCATATTCGAGACCGATTGATTCGAATAGACATATTGATTTCTCCCTGTAAGATAGTTTGTCATTAATTTGTGAATTTTCCCTCTGAACCCATATTGATAAAGTTTGCCAAGCAAAACTTTCCGATCAACTGTATCAAATGCTTTTTTCAAATCATTAAAGCAGGAGTAACCAAATTTTTTATTATCAATTGAAAAAGTCAGTAATGGACAAAATGGCATGAGTAAAGAAATGATTACTTCGAAAACCAAACTGATGCTTATCAATCAAGCTGTTTTTAGCGGCAAAATTGGATATGCGCTTGAAATTAGTTCTTCAAAAAGTTTACTCATACAAGACAACAAACTAATTGGACGGAAGTTATCGGGTTCAGTTTGTCGCCATTTTTATTCACTGGTAAAATTTTTGCAATTTTCAGATAATTAGGAAAACACTCTTATTTGAAGCAGATATTGAAAAATGCGCTAAATGGTCAGCCAGCACCGGAGCAGAAAATTTTACCATTTTACTACATATCCCATCATGACCAGTTGACTTTTTATTGTTCAAGTTAGTTTTTAATTTCCTTTAGTATCTCATATCGATTGGTATCATATATAACGAACGTGTTTTTATTAACTGGAAAGTTTTTTCTATACACGTTTTGTTTGAAATTTTCTGTTAGTTTTTCTCCAATAGTAGCAAAGTGTTCATTGAAAACATTAACATCGAACGAAGCAGTATTCGTTTTTTTTTACCACAGAAATGATTAAAAGCCTCAAAAATTCCGGATTAGTTCTTCTTCCTCGTTATCATGTTATCATAGTACCGGCATTTACTCTCCCTTGTAGCTTTAATAACATTGTTCCTACATGAGGTGAACTTATTTCTGTTTTCAATGGATGGTGTGTGAACCCACTTTTTGTATAACACATTTTGGTTATTCATCATTCTCTTAATTTTCAGATTAATCCATGGGTGGTTGTTTTTATTCTTTTTTCGGATTTTTTTTTGGGCAATACTTTGAAAATTCATCAATCAAGATTTGGGTCATTTCAGTGATGTAAACTTTAGTATCATCATCATCAATTTTGTTCAATCGATTTTTTAGCGAAAACAAAATTTTTAAACAATAATCATCATTCAGTAGTAAATCATAATTGAAATCCGATTGATAAGAATCCACGTTTCGCTTTCTGAAATAAATTTTAGTTCACACAAGTCCATAACGGTCACTAATAGTACAATTTTTTGTTGTTACCTGAGTTTCCCCCGCTCGATTATTTGAATTTCTAAATCAAAAGAGAGCAGAAGATTTTTATAGTCAATAAAGTTGCGCTGGCTACCCATAATATCGACATTTAAATCACCCATTAGCAAAATTTCATCGTTTAATGCTTTCATTTCAAGCAATAGATTTTCAAAGAAGTTCAAAAAAAGGTCTAGTTTGAGATTTGGTGGACGATATATTATGCAAACATTCAGTGGAGGGTGATCGATAAAACAGATTTTGATAACGATGTGCTCCAAACGGACTGGTAATTTAAAATAACTGTAGTTAAGGCCAGTTTAAATGAAAGCTGCAACGCCCCCACCTCTAGCGTTTACGCGGTTTGCACAAACAATATTGTCATAACCTTCTAAGTTGTAATTGCCAATAGGATCATTGTCCGAGAGCCATGTTTCAGTCAGCCCGATTAATGCAGGATTGTTATCAAAGGATTCAATTAAAACTGATAATTGGTCATGATGGGCTCTTATGGATTGAACATTTAGGAAAAATGGTGTTTGCGTTGTTGACGAATTTGGACTGTGGAGAGTCTCTGTGAATTGATTCCACAAATTGCACCAATTTGGCGGGATCCGACAGCCTACTGTACAATTCATCAATCAGTTGATTTCTTTCCACATTATTCGGGGTTATTTTTCTGTCAGGTTTCCTCACTGAAACAATAGGAGAGCGAGAAAAGTTGTTTTGATTATTTTATACCACTCGAGGATTTTGATTTCTAACATTTTTTGCCTGTCTTGCCATCATTGGAGTCTTATTTTTGAAAACTTGATCAGCATCCTTCATATCAACTAAGTTGTGCCTTTGAAATCCACCATCTGCTTTCGAAACGAAAACTTGAGAACAATTATATGTAACTGTGTACATTCCTAAACCCGGAGAATAATCAAAAAGCTCTGAATCGCGCTGAGTAAGTCTCTCTGTTATATACACTGGTTGCTTAATTACAGGGTGCAAAAAATCTTTCAATAACTTTTTTCTGCCATGAATTCTGTTTTTTATGTCAAAGTAGACAAATTTCACTATAACCACACATTTTTGGTTTTGACACACACAGGGCCGAGGGGATGGCATGCCTTCAGGTCCTAGATGTTCACCTCCACGCCCATAACGTCGTTTAAAAAGGCCAGGACATCTTGGGTGAAATATCCGGAACTTAAAGGTAAATTTTGCGAAATAACACAATCTTTTGAACTATATCTTTCCATTTCATTAACTTTATTCTCTAGAAAATGCACCCGATTTTGTAATCCATCAATGATATCGTCCTTAGTATTTACATTCTCAATTAGCCCTTGTAATAGGTCTTTCAATTTAGGATCAATATTTTCTGTATCTTTTCTTTCATCGAATAAAGTATTGAGATTCGCCATTGAATAAGTGTGCGATGTTTTAAATTTGTGGCAAGAAAAAAAAGAGCAGTTTAGAACCGACTGTTTCTCATTGAAGGTTACGCGGTTTGAGTTAATGTAATTATCGATTAACTAAAAAAGGCCAAATTTACACATGTTAGGGTAAACATTTTTGGTTCTGAATTGCCCAAAATAAGCTGGGCCATAGTATTTTTCGTGTTAATCTAATTAAAAATCGTTCTATTCACTGTTTGTCTAATCTTAACCCAATTCGAGAAAACGCTTTTGAATTTTCCAATGTTGCTCGTTTTTTTTTCCGGATACTTTAAATCAACTCTCTAGTGCAAAAGTGACGTTAATTTTAATTATAAAACATCGTCGGTAGGTGAAACCGAGTGTTTTTGATAGTATTGAGTTTGTTTTAAAAAGAATTTAAACTACAGCTTGAGATTAAATAGGGTCGAGTACTCATCTGGGAGTTATTAAAGCAAGCTCAAAGGGAAATTTCGGAATTATTGTGTTATTTAGATTCTAGCAAATTTTAGACACTAGCGGGTTATAGAAAGTACAATCTAGCAGCTAACTTCAATGAATTATAATCAGTACGATAGAAAAAAAGTTACCTTGTTAAATGATTTTTGCTTCGTTTTTGTTAGTCTTAAATTATAACACTTTGTTTCGCCGCATAGTATTTTGCTATTACAAGCAAGTGCTGATTTAGGATTTTCTTGAGTGGGAGGGCGTTTCAAAAAAGTTGATGACTTTTTTGGTCCACCAAGTCGATTTTCTGAGCGCTCTTTAAACATGAT